TGTGCAGTGCGCGCAGCCGCCGGTGGGCGGGGAGTGGGGGGATCGCGGCGCGTCGCCGGCGGGGCTAGAGGGCGTCCTGCGAGCTGAGCCGCGCGCCGAGCTCGCGCTTGCGAGGCCCCGGGACGCGGGAAGTGGCCCCGGGCCCGGGCCGCGCCACCACCACCACCCCCCCTCCTCCGCGGCTGCCCGGGGCCAGAGGTCCCGCGGGCGTCTCTCCCGCCACCCCCCCCCCCGCCCCAGCCCGAACCGGGGCAAAAAAATCCTGGGCCGCGTGGACTTCAGACGTCCAGCTTCCGGGTTGTTGGGTTTTGAGGTTTCAAAGAAACGATCATTACGGTGGCGTGCAGGGCGGCGGGGGGCGGGGGGGCGTGTTAGTGTTGTTACACTTTGGGAAAATAAAGCACTAGTTTCCTAACTCAGGGCGCTGATCGAAATAAAGGAATGTGTACTTCAGAAGCCACATGCAAAATATATGCAACTGGTGAAGGAAGGATTTGTGGTTGCTAAGCAGAGGCAGAGCATGTTTCGTTCTGTAACTTAGGATGTTGACTTAAGTTCAGGAATGTAACCCTGATAGAATAAGCAGAGCATTTTCATTGTACTGCTCACCTGGGGGAGGGGGGATTGTTTTCCTTGTGAAGCGAATCCCTAGATTTCCCATTACTCCGTCCTACTAGTGTATGTTATTTTATTGACCTTGTATCCAAAGAGATTTTTAAGGAGGAGGATTTTTTTTTTTTTTAAAGAACTCCCCTATGCCTGTTTTGTGTTCTCCTTTGCCAAAAAAACAAAACACCTCATTACTTTACATGGATTGTGTCTGCGCCATTTGAATGGTTCTATTCATAAATCAGGAAACTTTTTCTGTTGCTTCTAGGAACATTTAATTGGTTTTAATCCAATGTTTCAATCCCAGTATCAAACATAAATGAACAATTAACTTCTTGAGCACTTGGGAAACTCTTATATTTCATGGCTCTTGCTGAAATATTTCAGTTTCTCTCACACTGGACCCATTCTTTTTCAGAAAATCATAAGCTCACATCTTTCACACGAGCTACAGCTCACTCCAGTGGTTTCTTCTGCAAGATTAGGATGACCTACAGTCAGAAGGATGTGAGTCTACTCATTCAAGTAGGTGATGTGGGATATAACCCATTCATCCCACAAAAGCCAAAATGAGCTAACAGGGAGAATGCTAAGATTCTGATATCCTTATCCATAAACATTGCTTTACAAGAATTTATCAAGGGCCAGTTTTGAAAGGAGCAAGAACTAAGTCTTCCTAAGTGAAACAAAGAAAGGTACAAGGGATAATTTGAGAATACTGCTACACTTCCCTAATGCCATTTTATCACAGTGTCACCTCGGCCTTTGAGAGCTTTAAGAATATAGTTTAATTTACTTTTTATGAGGAAGCCTAGAGTGACTCCTGCTGGCAAACATTCAGCTTATTCCCACAATTACTACTTCATCGGGTCAACACAGAAAATAAAATGCAGGGGTCCAGAGCCTGGAGACAATTATTGCAACCATGATTCTTGTTTCTTTCAGGATGATTTTAGTCTCAGAAAATTCCAAGGATTGTGGTCATGGCAAGCCCGTTTACTGCAACGCCTCCTTTCCAACCTAAAGCAGCCTGTTTTTCTGGTTCTGAGGCTTTCTTGCAAATGCACAAACTAAAATACCTGCTCAAGGAGTTGTGCTACTAACCAATGAATGGCTATTTCTCATGTACTTAATTTGAATCTCCAAAAGCTAACCGGTATATACATTAAGGCCTGGATTGCTTTACCTTCCAGATACTATGTGGCTCTTTCCACATTATGCAGTTAAGTCCTATACATCTAAAACACCCCCACTCTTTAAGGCTGTATACTACATAGTTGTTTATTACTTAAAAAGTCCTACCCAAAGGTTGTATATTACAGTTTTGCTCAACTCAGAAGCGCAAATATAAATGCAGCTGAACTCTGGATGTAAAACAATGTAAGCTGTATTGGGGGGGGGGGGTGTCTACCTTTGTTCAATCCTTAAAGGTCAAAACCAAATCGAAACCAGATTTAGAGCACTACCAGGCAACTAAACACAAATTCGTATGTCAATTTAGGAATAAATCCATAAATAATCCGAAATGATCACTTGTAACTTTTCCATTATCATTGACCAACACTAACCGGGGTAAGCCACGAACACCTGGGAACTATAAAATGCAGGGATCCCATACGGTCTCCCTCCAAGACCGATCAATGAAACAGGGATAACGCACAGCAATATTGCCTCTCCTGGCCCCTCTCAAAGCAGAACCACCAAAGGGAGGAACGCCTGTGTGTACAGCACACATCCATCATGTCTCCTCAAAACTGTCCGGGAGAATTTAAACTGAATTAAATTCTACACTACAGAGTTGCCCTATTCCAAGTGTAAAGCTCTTAAGCAATAGGAGACAGTAAGGGTGTATTTTATTAAGAAAGGGTGTAGCCAACTATAACTTGTATCAACAAGCTAATAAAGTATTCACCGAAGCACATTTGTGCAGAGGAGGGTAAAGGTTGGATTCTGATAGGCACTAAGGAGTGTCCTAGGTAGTTAGTGGGTGTTTTATTTTTGTGCCTTTAGAAGCAGATGAATGTGATATTCAAGCAACAAGGAGCTAAGCTTTGAAGTCTGATCAAGTACCAGTCAATGTTGTTCAGTTTAACCCATCAAATCTATGTGTGCCTATAGCTGTAAAAAAAGCTCACCACTAAAAAGTCATAAACTAGTTTGTCTCTGAGAATAACACAGTAGATTCTTTTTTAGAATAAAGTGAATGAAACAAACATCAAACTTGTTATACACTGGACCCAACAGCACAGTACGCAGATGTGTGTGTATTAACCCCTTTATTCGGCTTCCAAAAGCCACTGCCTCTTTGTCACAACTGTTGTATTAAAAGCCAGTCATTCACATTTCACACTGTCCTTTCTAAATCTGAAAAGATCTTTTATAAAGCAGAACCTTTTAAAGTTGCTTATAATAGATGATGGGAAGACAAACACCACCAAGTCCACCTGAAGCATTTTCAAAAAGACTGGCTACGGAAAACAAGTTAGCAAAATACATTTCTTTGGAAAATATGGAAAGTTTTTGGTTACAGATAAAAGCCAAAAATCTGAATCTACTATGGGGACAATTTTCTAATGTAGATTTTATTCATCTATGAGCCAGCTACAACTAACAGCCCTACCTACACATGCATGTTAGGACACACTAATCCTTCCATTCTTTCCTTTCTGATCTTTTATATTGTGTTCTGAAACTTTTCCACTGAGGAAAAGGAATTATAGCTCTGGCTGGAATCTCTCTCATATCGACAGACAGACAGACAGGTAGGTAAGTAGGTAAGGAGAAATATCTACACATAGAGAGAGAGGTATCTCCCCTATCTATATACACACCTTTTTTAAGAGGCACTTAGATTCTTGAAGACCAAGTTACTTTTTGATTCAAGAACTAAATAAAACAAATGTATTTTCATTGAAAAATAACCATGGCAGTGAATTTAATGATACCAATCTAACTCCTTTGATACAAAATGAGAGTTGAAAGCAGCTTGAAGCGGAATGCCTATTGAAATCAGCGCATGTGAATCCGCACAGCTTTGTAACCAAACGTCTAGCACCATTGAGGTACGAAGCATGCCAGCTGGGACAGCATTGTGCACCACAAAGTGTGGGTTGTAAGCCTAAGTCCTGAGCACAAACCCTGGTTTCCAAGTTGGCAGGTGCTGAAAACACAGCAAATGTCACGCTTGCAACTCACTGGATGAAGAGCTCTGGGTAATGCAAGCTAAAAAGAACAGAGCAACAGTTAAAACTTATTTAACTTTGAGATACATATATAGATAGATATATAGATCTATATCTATCTATATGTAGATAGATATATAGATCTATATATCTATCTATATATAGATAGATATTTTTTTTTTTTTTTTTGCAATAGTAGCTATTGGTGTTATGTGCTACCAGAAAACACCAGCATGAAAAAGGAAGACAGTGAAAAGTTTCTGCATGGTAAATAAACAAAAGGAATACAATGAAGGCTCTTCACAATTTACATTCAAAGTTACTGGTGTATGTAAAACTTATCAAACCTGTGTTACTATTTTAATAGTAACAATGAAAAGCATAATTCATTCCTGACCTTTCCCTGATCTATTTATGATCTGAGCTGAAGGAGACTCTAATTGATATCACTGTTAACATGGTTACTCACCCATAACCTAGCTTGGCCTCAGACCCTCCACCAAAAAAACAGCTAAAAACAAGTGACAGTATCTTCATATTGTTATACACTGAGTTTTATCTAGAAAATATTTCAACAGCACAGCCAGACTAAATGTTTCTGCTATCATCTTCAAATGAAAATCTTTTCCATTTTTTTCTTATATAGACTTTAGTGGAATTCAGATTTGGTATTTATGACACAAGCCCAAAATTTGCCTTAATTTTTCTCTCCTGTCAACTGTCTACCATATAATGTCACTGCCTCAAGAAAAATCTATTTTTTTTTTAATTTTTCTTTCAACGTTTATTTATTTTTGGGACAGAGAGAGACAGAGCATGAATGGGGGAGGGGCAGAGAGAGAGGGAGACACAGAATCGGAAACAGGCTCCAGGTTCTGAGCCATCAGCCCAGAGCCTGACGCGGGGCTCGAACTCCCGGACAGCGAGATCGTGACCTGGCTGAAGTCGGACGCTTAACCAACTGCGCCACCCAGGCGCCCCAAGAAAAATCTATTTTTAACTCATCCCTAGTGATATGCTCAAAGCCACTGCTATCCTGCCTATCCCCATAAAAATGAAACCGAGTGAATTTCATTTTCATTATGTAGAAAGGAAACTGTGAAACAACATACAGTTTGTGATTTCACAGAGTTTAAATACCCAATCTAAAGACTGAATCCTTTGGGTTTAAAATATCAAGGAAAATAATCAGTCTCCGGCTCCAAAGGGTAGAACATCCTTGGGAGCAGTATGAAAAGAACATGTGCCCCACATAGTATATTAGCCTGTGAATTTCTTAACTCTTCTCAGCAGTTTGTCAACCTTCTGTTTTAACCAAAAGCAAAGATGTTTTGTTTTATTGTATCCATTATAAGAGGGACTGGCCTTGCCTATTTTGTATGCACATACCCTGCCCCTGACCTGAAACCAAGAAGTGATAGGAGAAGTTAGCTTGCTTCTTAACTACTACTTTACAGCTTCTCTTAACTTTCACAAAAAAACCCTCCCCAAAAAACAAAAGTCGTGATCAAATCCAGGTTATTTAACCACCATAGCACTAAACTCCCTAACTCAGGGAAGCTTTTATTATGTCCATCCTAGGGACATACCTCCTTATCATATTGATCTCATCTCTATAGAGTTTTTAAAAAATAGTTCAAAGACTTCGGCTCTTTGAGGATGACTAGAGAAAGTGACACTATTCTGGCCAGTATTTCTCTAGTCACACTAAGCCGGGTCCAGGCACTGGGATATTCACTTACCCACCAATAAAAAAGGTTAAGTATACAAATCTGAAAACCAAATGTTTTCTAGACTAGGTAGGATAAACAACTGATTCGATGTACACAACGTACTACACTGTCAGTTCCACTATAAACTAAGGTCAAATCAGATAAACTATTTAAAGTATTAACCAACCTCAAACTTTGAAACGTCACTGTGAATGGCACCGTTAACTCAACATAAAACGAGGAAACAAAATACAACTCACTGATCAAGGAAATTCAATCTAGATGATGCAAGGTGGAAATCAATGATAAAATCCTGCCCCACTGCTTCCTCAATGCCAGGTAAGACCCAAATCCAACTCAACTTTCACTGAACCTGATGCATGGTTAGTCGAAGGACCTGCTCTCAGTTCCCTTGTTGGAAATAACACCTTAGCATTCAGACCTAACAATGGAAGGTGCATCATGTCCTTGGCCATTTGTTTTTCAATTCAAATGCATCCAAATGAACATTTTCCCCATCATACCTACATTTATTACTAAATAATTACCATTTAAACAGATAACGACCTTAAATGTGAGTATCCTTAGAGTTTGCTAAAACACATCATAAAGATCGTTTGTTGAAAATGACTAAAGAAGCAGCAGCTACACAGAACGGTTTTTTAAGAAATTCTGGAAGGCCCACCTGCTCCAAATTTTCACTCTTACTCACCTATCCACCACTTGGCCTCTCCCCGCCATCGAAACACCCTTGGAATACAGTGGACCTGAAGACATAACTCAGTGGCACTGAGGGGTAAAATCTCAAACAAGCCAATCTATCAGCCCCAATGGGCAGACGGATTCTTGGAGGAGAGAATATTTACCTGGCACTGGCGTTTGCTAGGAATCATGCTAAGTGGCTTCACATTGATTTTTCTTACTTAATACTCATTCACACCCCTATTACGTGACGTCTACACAACTGTTTCTGTCTCCGTTTCTCAAACCTGCTCCAAAGAAATGTTCTGAAGGGAAACCAAGTTTAAGTAAGTGTATGCTGTCCCACTAGGCACTTTCCCAGCACCGTTAACATACTTCGGTGTCACTGAGGGGAGAAGCAGGTACAGGACAGGAAGGCAGTGGCCCAGAGAGGTGCAAGGCCTAAGACGGGCACACTCACGCACTGCACCCGAGCGAGGGTCTCTGTGCGGCATGAGAAGGTAGAAGCCTCAGCGCCCTGGGGCTGCAGGGTGCTAAATTAGGTCACCTGTCAGTGTGAGTCCTGTGTGCCTACTCAGGCCCAATCTTGATCTCGATCTTTCTCTACATACAATCCAAGCAGACTAAACAATCAGATGTAAACTTCTAAGTTTCTTGGATAAAATATACTATGGTCAAACGAATACAAACTAAATTATCAAATATATCACCAGGGACAAACAATACTCAAATCTGAAGTTTACCAATGAATGTACAAAGATGTTTTATAGATGGAAAAATACGTGATTTTATGCTCCAAATGTTTTATTATACGTACATATATTTTTTCACATACATAGATACCGTTGTTTAAAAGAACTGTAAAATGACCTAATAACTGATTCTTAGCTAATGGGAGTATTTAAACCTCCCATATATAGCAGAAACCTGGGGCACCTGGGTGGCTCAGTTGGTTAAGCATCTGACTCTTCAGCTCAGGTCATGATGTCACGGTTCATGAGACTGAGCCCCTCATTGGGCTCTGTGCCGACAGCACAGAGAGGCTGCTTCGGGTTCTCTCTCAAAATAAATAAGTAAACATTTATTGTGGAAACCTATTTTGCAGACCCATCTCTAAACCTCAGATCCACTTCAGCAGGTATTAGGGACTGAATGTTTGTGTCAACCCCCTCCCAAATTCACAAGTCGAAGCCCTAACCCTCAATGTGATGGTGTTTGGAAATGGGGCCTCTGGGAGGCAATCAGGGCTAGGTGACGTCAGGCAGGCGGGGCTCTCGTGACGGAATCAGCACCCTCATGAGACACCCAAGAGACCCTGCACTCGTGCTCTCTCCCCCTCCCTTGTAGGCGGGCACAAGGGGCTCGTGCGAACATACAGGGGGATGGCAGCTGCCTACATGCCAAGAGCAGAGGCTCCAAAATGAAGCCTGCCTTGCTGGCACCTTGATCTTGGGCTTCCCGGCCTCCAGACTGTGAAAAGTAAATCCCTGTTGTTTAAGCCACCTAGCCAACGGCAGCCCAAGCTGACCAGCACCGGGGTGGAGAACTTTAAATATCACCTACTGACCACCCTCATTTTACAGAGGCGAAACCTGAACCCCAGAAAAGGAAAGCGACCTGCCTATATTGCAATCGTTTTTTCCCTCCCAAATTGAGTATTTCAAAATAATCATTTCTCTTTCATATTTACTCCAGTGCTTACCAGATTGTAAACACTCTGTTACTACAGAATGAAAGGAACCAAAACAAATCAAATTTCAAGGCCAGAAAATAATCTGACACTGCATTTGTCATAAATTAAATCATTAATCAAATGGACTTAGTAATAATAAGATGATCCCTCTGACTTCTGGTTACGTTAGCACCTTCACCATACAGAGATTCCAGGAGGAAACCTTAGAGCACTAAATGAACAAACTTCTCCAAGACACAGGCTTATTTCACAGTGAGGTCCAGTATGTGGAATCCCCCTCATAGTTTAATCCAGTTAATTACTTTTTAATTAAATAATAACCACACTAGTCGGCACTTCCAACCTACGAGGCTATATGGAATTCAATCCTCTCTCTTGAGCAAACTATAGTATCAATTTTTTTTTTTTTTTTTTTTTTTTTGGACCCAACTGGTTCTCTTCACAAAATCAGAGCTTCCCTGCTAGACATGTTAGGGCTTCCACACGGAATAAACAGCTCTGACTCGTGCGCCTCGTTTAGGATTGCTTCTCAAAAGTCAGCAAGTATTATTCCCATTCAAAACAACAGCATAGAAGCCCTTTCGCTGAGTCACAACTGGGCCTCAAAGGTTACATTTTATAAATAAGACAACGTGCAATGTTTTTCATTCACAACTTCAGGTCTGTCTTCCAAAACTTGCATACAGCTCTTTAATTCAGCCCAGTATGTTTTATTAAATGCCATATTATGATTTTCCCCATTCAGACTCCAGCTAGGCTTCTTGTTGAGGACATGGAAGGAAAACTTAATTATTGCTGCTTCAGTGCATCTAAATTTATTTCATTACCAAAATCAACAGAGTAAGGGCGAGATGCTGTAGCAGAAAGGCAGCCGGACATGGAATGTAAACTGCTCCTTCCTCTACCCTTCCCCCGCCCCCCCCCCCCCCCCAAATCCAAGGGTGGGAAAGATCCCCAAATGGGGGGGTGTTTTTTTTTTTTTTTTTTTAGCCAGGATGTACTAAAATTAGATGGGAACAAAGGACTGACATTTTCATACACGAGGAGGGGTTAGGAGAAAAACGTGCACTGGCAGCACCCACTCTCTTCTACATTTAGCTTCTCCCCCCTCCCCCCCCAACTGCGTCCATCCTTGACAAGAGGCAGGGAGGGCACCGGCAGGAGCGCTGCGGGGAGCACTGCGCCCAGCCTGGCGGCGAATCCCAGAGAATGCTAACCTGCCTGTCTGTAAGTATGTTAATGAAGAATGAGAAATACAGTTCACGGTGCCCTTATTCAACTGGAGTATTTTCACACTTCTTTCAAGGCTCCTCATACGATGTCCATGATATGCTCATCGCTGGTTCATGCATAAATTTTTAGGTATTTGGGAAAACAAATACGGTACATTTGCTTTCCTTACAAAGCTTCCGGGTAGCATGCACACAAAAAAGATGACTCACTAAAGTACTTATTTTCTGATGCGGTAATAACAATACATATTTTAAAACGTAAAAGAATTTATCATTTCTTCCAAATGGGCCACTTAAAAATGAAAAAAAGTAGATTTGGGTTTTTTTTAATATCTTCCTCTTAGAAACTGGACAAGTAATTTGCGACTACTCTAAGGCACAATTGATCTCTTAGTTGTAAGTCTTTCTTACAATGGTATCAGCATGACAAAAGTACATTCTGCCAGCCTCTACATCCAGTTTTTGAAGTTCTACTTCATAAAAGCAGGATATTGATACATTCGTGTCTTGTGAATTATTCCTATCTTTTTAATTTGGTTTCCCTGGGCCTAAACCACAGGTCTACACAGTGACCGCTCAAAATTCAGTTCGAGAAGCCCTTTAATGATTAGTCTAATGCACTGAGTTGTAAAGATTTTTAAAACTCAGTAAGTACCGACTCAAGCTCTCTTTTTTTCCTGGTTACTGGAGCCCATCTTGACATCTAAGCTGGAAATGAATGATCTTTCAACAACACGCCAGGGATTTTGCTAAGGTCATATTCAATCATTCATTAGGCTTCTTCCCCCTCGCTTTTCAGAGTTCTATTGTGAAGCTGGTTTTATTCAGCATTTATGTAGCCTGTGGGCTTGGGTGTTTGTCTGCTTAATGTTGAGTTTCATTTCTATGCCCCTAACATAGGAATCCATCAATTGACCAAAGAATTTCAAACTATTCTTTTACTTTTCTAACAAATTGCATGGTGTGTATGACGAATAAATTAGCATTAATTTTCTTCCATTAACTGTTAATAAAACATGCTCCTGTGCTCCCCCTTCTTCTAAGGACATCTCTGTTTCCTGCCTAACAGAGAAATGACAAGGGTTTCCTAATTTTTTCCCACTAAGCAATTGTCCTTCAACCTAGCATGCTTCTCGTCTCCCACAATCAAGCTCTAGGTCACGGGCAGCCTCCTTCCAGTGAAGTATACTAGACAAGACTCCTTTCAGAGCCCATCAACACCCCCCCCCCCCCCACACACACACACAAATAGCTAAAGAGGTTTTACTACTGTGGAACACAAGACACTTGGTCCCTTGCTTTCAAAGCAGAAAGCTGTCTCTGGAGCACGTACACTCTAGTTCACAGTGCCAAAAACAGGAAATCAAACCCAGGTCTCCCCACAGCAGAATGCCGGCCTGGAGAGCAATGGATTTTTCACATTTGTAGAGATTTTCATCAGGGGCTACCAGACACATACACACGTGTGTAAATATATAAAATAAAATGATTTAAGAAAACATACATCAAAGTCTATTGACACAGGCAGGGATACTCTCTTTGCATATCAATTTAAGGAAAATTATTTCAAAGGCTATAGGCTAACACAGGTTTCTTAAAAATTAAAGCTTCTATTATACTCGGGATGAATGTAAATTAACATATACATATATATATACACACACACTACATTACTACATCACAGTATCACAGAAAATTTAAAATAATAGTAGTGAACTGAAAACATATCATTCATTGCAAACACTAAACGTTTTTTGTATAGGTTTACCTCCCTTCTTTCCCCCAAATAACAGAAAATCGCATCCATACCGCAGACCAAGAAGAAAGGAAGATTTGCTGCTAGTACAATGAGGAGGGGGGAGGGGGATCATTCAGGGACAGTTGTACTATTTTAAAATGGCTTCAGTCAAGCGGCCAAGAGTAGCGTCAGGTTTGATTCTCAGCTGCATAAACGCCAGTCCCAAAAAGCAACTCTAACTCGTGCACCTGGCTTAAAGCAAAACGTTCTGAAAACTTTCGACTTGTTCATCGGTGTAACCGGCCCATTGGGCCTCAAACCCCTTCGGACCGGCCTGCGCGCCTCCTGAGCACAGAAGCGCCGGCTACTGAGGCTGTGACGTCCTAATGAGAAGCAACGAAGCTGTGCAGGCTCCAGAGAGAAGCTTCGTTTGCATTTCAAACGAGTTTCCTCAAAATAAGAGCGTCTTTTGATGAAATAAAGTGGCAATTCCAACTTCTCATCCAGAGAAACCAGCGCTCACCACAGAACTGACCGCTCCCTTTCGAAACCGCTTTTCTTCCGGGTCCCCACACGGTCACGTGACATAACAGACCGAAGTGCAAGAGTTACAAATTTGCGGCCGGTTTTGGTAACTTGGGG